TATGGAGAAACACGGCAAGAAAAATCGGTTCCCCCAACTTCTATCGTCCTCGCCATCGTTTGTTCAAAGAGATAGCAATTTGGAATGGGAGGAAGTAACCAAATTCGAAATTGCACGCGATTTATGGAGGAAATTCGCGCAAGATCTAACGATCGATCGCCGAGAATTTTCGTGATTGGTCGGCCAAGAAGGAAGGGGGCCGCAAGAAACGAAACCGCAGAGGACGGAAGGGGAAGAGGACTATCGTAGATCTTGTACTACCGTTAGCGAGCGCTCACGTGCACGAGATGTTCGTGGTGGAAGGCGTTCGACGCTGCGGCCACGACACTGGCCTCTTCGAAGCGGTGCTAGGTTCGCGGAACGTGCTCGACTTCCGTCAAAAGAAACAGCTGCATGCCGTACGCGCCACTATGCGAGCGCAACGCCGACTATCGATGTCGTAAATCTTTCTTTTCTTCGACCACGAGGTCGTGTCCCCTCGTTTGTACGTCATAAACCCGTTTACAGCCGTTCTAATCAATGGGAATTTATAATAACCCTTTTCGTTCGGAGAAGAAGCCGCACTACGAGCCGAGTTTAAGTCCCTTTGAAAGCTAATTACGTACTCCTCGACCGGCATACACGCACCATCTTTTCCACTAGCGAGGACGACGAATATTTGCTCGCAAATGGCTCGCGGTGTCCTTGCACTCTGAACGTATACCCTGCAGCTCGTTTAATATTTTATACGAACCCGGCAAAGTATTACACGCAAGTAAAAAAAGAATGGATAAACGCAAACAAACAACTAGAGATACGCAAACCGTACGTAACAAAGTGAACGATAAATACGGCATTCTCGGGATAAGCGGCTCTCCGCTATGAGAGTGTAAAGCTGTATAAGAATGGGGTGGAATGGGGCGTTAGGAAGGGTCGGTAAACGACACGGTTTCCAGAAGTAAAATCGAAGAGGCGCGTTTCTTCGAAACAACTGTTGTTCTTCGCTACTGGAAGTCAAACAGAGGTGCGAGCTGGAATTTGTCCAAGGGCCGGGAATCTAGTTCTCGTAACTGGAAACTCACGGAAGATGTGGTAGTAAAAGCGTGCATACGTACGACGTGCGTAACGTATTCGTTGCATGGGAACGACACGTATCGACTCCCTTCTATCCGTCAACGACACGTAGCAGGGAAGAAATAGCAGCACGTGCGAACGCTTTCGCGTGTAAACGCGAGTTGTCCCCGAGGTAACGTTCGATAGCTGTCGTCCTAACGTCAACATCCACGCCATTTTATAATGGTCTGCCAACGAGGAACGATTTTCGCGACGTGAACATTGTTCGCACCGGAGGAAACAGCCTAGCGTTTAAGAAACTTGCTCGTGACACCAAGAATATGGTCGGCGGTACGTTGAATCGATCGAACGTCTTGACAACAGCCAACCGATAGAGCGTCGAGATTCGTGCTTCTGAATGACTATATTTAACGACGCGCGATATTTAAACTGCTAGACAGAGAAGAAACTCGTTCTATATAGCGTGTTACTCGGCCAACGTCGGCCGGTCAAAGAGTCAATAAATCTCGGTTGTTCGCCGGTTTTCAATGATGCTACAGAAACGATGATACATGGCCGACGGATGTCTGCGTTATGCGTTTAGTATCGACGCAGACGTCATTTGTCAAGATCGACGCAAAACAGTGGGTCAAGCATAGAACAGACACGCTAGATACGTGGTGCGGTCATATATCATTTGCGTGGTTCGCTGCAACCTATCCTGTCATTGCGGGTTCTCGCGCGTATTATTTGCCCGATTCAAACAATGCAGCACCGACAATTTATATAGGGGTTAATTAAAGCACTCATTGTCTAACTGTTCGTTGGTAATTTCGTTGTTTGTCGGTGCCCCGCCGCCCTCCGACCGATCTTTCATTCGTGTTTTACCGATTGTTGAAACTCTGTGAAACAACCGCCATCCTCCCATTATTCCAAACGCTTTTTCTCTTGCGTTTCCACCGACTGTCACCTTTCGTTTCGAAACGAGGAAATCCAATTGCGATTCCATTTAAAGCTTAAAATACACGCACGGGATGTCGCAACCTGTAATTTTCTCAATTTTCAGCGAAAACAACGAATCCCATTTCGCCAGCGAAATCATACTAATCCCAGTGAAAGATCACGCGCGTGCACACACGCGCTGCTTTTCCATCGTTTCAATCTGTCTACATCGCCAATTGATTCCGATATTATCCCTCCATTAATTACTCGATCGCGGCAGAATATCGCCGCGAATTCCCCTCCATAATATCTGCAAACGTGCAATCTACGTGGCAATTTTCACACGTCCATTACGCGTTTACGTTCGATATCAGAAGCATTTGATCAAAATCGAGAACGAAAATCACCGCTGGCCTACAGGATTCGCACGACGACGCAAATGTACCGCGTGTCTCGCGCAGACCAGTTGCGAAATGGCCGTGAAATTCTGCGATCGAGAATTTCCCTGGCCGATTCACTCGGTTGTAGAAATAGCAATTACATCCGAGTTTAACATTTGCAGGACCGTTGGTCGCTTGTACGACGTCGCCACAAAAGGGAGCCGATAATTAATTTAGCGCCGTTCGATCGATCTCTCGTTCTCTATCGAGCGTCGAGTGTATGGAATTGTCATAACACGCGACCATTAAAACACAGACAAATGATTATCGTACGTGTACGGTGAGGAAATTTTTTTACGCAAGATTTCGCAAAGCGATACACTGCGATGTCAGAGAAATATTTTTTCACGTACGATAAGATCGTACAAAGGCACGAAACAGAGGCGTTGTCACCGTATGTGACGTTTTATTAATCCGATCAGCTGACGCGAGCAAAGTCAAACATTGTCGCGATATTTAATCGCCAGCTGAAACGGGAACGACGAACGGGGCGGATAGCGGATCGTGTAAAAATAAATACAGAACCAGCGATAAATATGCGAGAACGTACACGTCCGTCGAAATAGCAGTTCGCGAGAGTCTGCTTTGTTTACCGTGACGATTGTCGCAATTTCGTTCGGACAACTTGGTAATTCAAAGCGACCTCGCGGATCTCGCTTGTAATCGATTCGATGGCTATCAAGAACCCGTGGAATTCGTGTCCCAATTATTCACCATCGTGCAACCTCACTTTTTGATAAACTATGCGCTATAAAAGCGAAACGGTTACGGAGCACAGATCTATCGATCGAGCCAGCGAAGTTTGCTCAATGGAATGCCTCGTTTTAATTAGGATAGAACCGCGCGGAAGATCAATGTTAGTTGAACGATTGAATCAGGAGAGGAAGCAGAGGGTGTAACCGCCATGTAAACTGCGTTTTCGAATAACTTACTTCAACAATGTTCAAGTTTCTTCGTCGATTAAACGTTCCAGGCGATCGTGATCACGTTGAAGAAACTTTTGCTTTCCCGTATAAATATCGCCTTGTCTATTCGTAGGTTGCGTAAATCGTGACACCGCGCAAAAACCGTAGGCGTAGCAAGAACGACGACGGTTCTTTTGAAGCGAGAGGGTAAAAATGCTGGACGTTTGGGTGTCGAGTTATGCCGAGACCAGCTATTTTGCACGTTTTATTCCAGGGAACAAGTTTCTCGAGGCTAGAATCGTGTTAAAGTTCCAAGGTGACGAGGGACTATGAAACTGCCGTGGCACGTGCCATTCTTCGGTCCACTTTCCAACTTAAATCACGCGTTAGAACAGATACCAGAGATCGTGCGAAAGAAGAACAATCGGCAAGTTCGACGACGAACGAGTATCTGGATTCCACGACCTCGTAATTGATTCGTAGGTGACCTCACGGCTCGCATAATTTCTCCCATTTTACACAAGGCTGGCACACTGTGGATCTGGGTGACACTCATCCACCAAGTATATTGAACCTGAACGTTCCCCTTCCATGCAATCCGGTATACTTTTCACCTGATCTCTCCAAGGTCAGGCAACGAGGAAACAGGTATATATGTACTATGCTTTCATCGATTCAACCGGCGCGCCTGGCTATCGTACGCTCCATTATACGTTTTTGTTTCGGCAATGGCCGCTATTAGCCGATGCGATCTCGATGGTGTATTTTACTTTACTTATCTCGCTTCACGCCGATATTTCCCTTAACTTTACTCGCTTGTACCTCGATCGAATGCAAAGCAATTATCTCGAACGATCGATACGTATCGGGGCAACACACTCTGGCTAATTATGGAGCAGCGTGTTAAAGATGGTGAAATTTCTCCTTAGTTTTTCTACGTTCTTCTCACGGTTCGTGCTTTTCTCCGGCTCTCCCTGTCAAGTATTAACCCGGTAGCCTACTTCCTGGCGCCAACAGCCTCGAGCCTTTCGAAAATACTTTGCGTACCTACTCGCCGTTTCCTACGGCACGTCGGCTCGAAAGAAGCCCTATTCACGCTCACAAAGGTCCGAGGAACTCGACATCGGGTAAACGCCCGAATGCAAGGAAACTAGGAGAAACGCTCGTTTTTACCTTCGAGCGTAAACTGAAAACACCTATCACCTTCCCACTTTTTCGCCACCTTATCTTAAACCTGTGTAAGCCGAAGGGTCGATGACGGCGTTCATTCGTGAAATTCACGCGCTCCTCGGTGAAACTATCTAAGACCGTGTTTATCGTATACTCTCTTCGAGGAAAAGGGTTGTTGAGAAGTTTCAAGAGGGGGGTGACACGAGTACCGTAAGGGATATCCGCGAGGTCGAGGCTTGGTCGAGTATGTGCATCCCGGAAGTATGTTTGGAATCCATTTTCTTAGGAACGAAGACAAAAGGAAGGGAATCGTTTCCGTTTCCTTCAAGACTTTTGCCCTATTTCAGTAAAGTTACGTAGCACGTAACAGCTATATATGTATATGTACCGTTCGGTTAACAACACGTACGAGTCGTTGCGTAATTGGAGAAACATTTACAAATTCCATATATATATATATATATACTCGATATGCAAATGAGAATAGAAAAAAAAGAGAAAGAACACTTACCACCTCGGCAACGTTGCCGGAACCGTCCCTCATGCCATCTCTGTCCGTGCGTCCCCCTGAAAACGGAAATGCAAGACATTATGAAAATCGGATAGTTGCATAATTGGCGTAAAACGATCGCGCTTCGATAACTCGCGTCGTAAACTCTCACAAAGACGGACCGTACCGCCGCGTATCTCTCGTTCTTACTCGTATTCGCAAGGATTCAGGCCAATCGTCACACTCGAGTGGTCGACGAGCACGCTAGACGGAAGTGGCACGAGTGCGTAAACTGGAGTCGCGAGCCGATCGACCACTCGCGTGAATATCATTCGACTTTGTTACCGCTTTTCAGGGAATCTGACTCGGTCGTTCGTGTTATCTGTACCGACTTCCGCTCTTGCGTATAGTCACCGTTTAACAGCAATGAACGCAATCGAAGCGAGAAATTGTACTCGATTAAACGTTCGCAATTGCTCGATACATTTTTCCTCCGATGAATTATTCAGAGACGCTGAGTCGTCTAGTAAAAGTTTTGCAACGGAGAAGATTGCGCAACCAGTAGCTCTACGGGAACGCGTGTGAATGAATGGGATCGCGGGAGCAACGAGCTATCCAGGAAGCGCCATATCTCTCCCGTTTCTTCTTTGTTCTTTGCGTCTTACGATTTTCAAACTCAATACGCGCCGTTTACCTTCTTCGTATCGAATCCGAGCGTAGACGAGATCGAGTCGCGATAACGAAACGTTCAATTAGCGCGACCAGAGTGCAATGACCAGCGCCGTCGCGCTAACACGTAATAAAACACGGAAACGCATGGTTAAAATTCAGCCAAACGAGGAAGGTTGGAACGGCCAGTTAATTAATAGAAAATTGAACCGACGCGGAGAAAATTAGTCCGAGGCATGAGCCGCGACCGATAGAACGGTATAACGTTCATGAAGATTTCATTAGGCGCGTCAAGATTTTTCAGTGATCGCGACCGATATCGACGCGATCGAACAGCCACGGGTTCCACGCGCAGCTTCGTCGAAACAATCAACGTCTTCTTTTCGTTTACGAGGCACAAGCGAAAGGTAGGTGGCTCGGGCCCGCAACTTTTCCTTCCCAAATGAAATTTAACCGAACGTAATTAGCTTCGAGGTAACCGTGCGGCACGAGCAATGGCGTAAGTGGTGCCAAAGGATTTCCGAGAAAACTTCAACTTTGCTCCGTTGGCCGAGCCGATCTTTCTCCTCCGAGAGTGCGGCGCGCGCGTGATTCCGCTACGAATGGCCTAATCACGCTGGCTTTTGCTAATAACACGTTCTCTTACGGCGAATCGAACCATTCGAATAGCAATAGTTGCCTTAGGTCTGCATGTAGAAGCGAGTTCGATGACCTGGACAACCGTTGAGTCGTTCAAGGTCTCGAATGTGTGATAAAACGGTCTTAAAGCTGCAATTTATGTCACTCGAAAACGATGACGAAAGCTGCGCTTTCTAGGTCACTGCGTTACGTGTTTATTACCTTATGTAATCGCGGGAGCAGTCACTGAACCGCTCGTAAAACGAAGCAAAATAACGCAATAATATTTTGTCCAGTTTTCACGAATCCAGTATATTCGGTATTTTCGACTTGAATCGAAAGTCGACTCTGGTCGACCAAGGTAAAATTATCCGTTTTTTCCTGCATTCTTTCAGGCATTTTTTTTCGAATTCGACGCCTTTCCTCTGTGGTTGAGACGAATCCTCGTAATTTCGCGGCCGTCTTCCTTTCTCCTAACGTTCTTGCGGTATTTCAGACGGAAAAGTGTTATTATCCGTCGTCGAAATGTACACCGACAATTGTCAGACAAAGTATACGACAGTTAAATAAATGTCAGCCGCCGCGGCAGCACCATGAAATTAGTAGCTCGTATAATTTTCAGTCGCGAAACGCAAGCAATTACACGCGAATAGAATCTACGAAATTTGTCGATCCGGCGAGCAAAAAATTTACGTGAACGTAACTCGGACGAGTTATTTTTTCTTTTTTAACACGTTCGCTATCACGCCGCGGAGAAGAAATTCCACCCACAGCCCATTACTTTTTCTTTCAGAATTCTACAAAATATACTACAGGTTTTTATTTGGATAGTTTTAAAACCTAGTAAATGAGCATGTAAATCTAGTTTTTCAGTCACAAATCGTGTCACAAATATGTGACGCTGGGCCACATGGAAAATTTTATTCGATTCATAAAGTAAATAAAATTTCTACTGGAATAAATGTGCCATATTTAACTATACAAACGTGTATTTAAAATTAATGTAATTAATTTATATACCGTAGAACATTCTGAAACATATGCTAATACATAATCCTATTGGTTCACACTCATTAGTTTTACATGCTTCGCATGCATACCATGTGGCAGTGGATTTCTTTCTCCTCGCACAAACACAGCATCTTAATCTTTTCTCTAATTTTATTGAAAAATGTTACATCCCGCTAAGATTGAGACTAAGGACATTGGTATCGATATTAAGAAATTTTAGTGCAAGATTATTTCTAAGCTGTAAATAAGACATTTTTTGAGAAATTAATTCTATTCAGCAGCCAATTCCCATTCCAAATTGCTATATTAAATAAGCGAAAGAAAACTTTCGAATACCGGCGTATTGCTTTTCGTGGCGTGGAATAATATGCCGTCATCTGATCGCACCGATCAACCCCAGACATGTTTTTGTTACAATCGAACACAGTACGAGCTTTTATTCCTTTTCTTCTTGAAGATGGTATTTCAATTAGATCTGTGTTATGCTTCGTGGATATTGTTAATACGTCTCGTTTGTCTTTCCATTTTTGCACTAAGGTGTTATTTTTTCTTTTGAAAATACATTCTCCAGTTTATAATTTCTGCTGAATTACAACCTTGAGATTACCTTTACGATCTCTCCTTAGTGTCTCAACCACGTGAGTTTTATTTTTGTACAAAGAGATGGCTAGTTCAACGCTAATGTAATAATTGTCCATGTAGATGTAATAAATGTTCTTTTCCCAAATAATCATTTAATAATCTATAAACAACAGAGAAAGCACGCCCGATTTCATTGTGCACTGTATTTTTGCAGAATAAGGAAGAATATTTAATACGAATGTATAATAACATTGATTCGTCTATCGATAAATTTTCACCAGGATAGGATTTACCAGATTTCAGGATAATAGCAATCCTTTATATTTTTTATCCAATGCTGCAATACTTGATCAATTGTACGAAGGCGGTACAATTTATCACACATTTGGTCATAGAAGCGAAGGCAGCGAAGAGTTTTCTTATGTAGATTTCAAGGCATTGTTTTGCTAAGTTGAGGTTGATAATAGAGTGCATAATAGTAGGCGGTCGAATGTTGTCCATGGCAATATATAATCCTAAGGATTGTTTTATTTCTTTAACTGAAGTTGGTTTCCATTCTTTTTGTAACATGGAAAATGCATGTATAGGATATAACAACAAAGCTCGAGCATTTATCCAATTCGCAATTTTCTGCATAAGAAAATCGCCAAGTAATAAACAAAACGCATCTAGTATCGAAGTATTTCTTGGAAGATTTACTCTTAGTCCTGCCTTTCCGGTAAAATTATGTAAAACGGGATCAATGTTTGCTTCCATCCAAACACTATTACGAGAATCATCACAGCCTTCATCAAGAGAATCGTCGCTTGTGTTAGAAATGACTGGTAAATGTATCCTGTTAAGATCGTTATCGTCTGACAAAGTACTAGTATCAAATAAATCTATGATATCTCCATCATATTATCTGCTTTCATCGCTCGAACCATCATATAATATTCGTCTGTTTTTCATGAAAGATCTCCTGGATAGGAAGATTTACTTACTACTTTATGACAGTTATGTATTATACGACAATAATATATATTCAAGATTACTTACATATCTGTTATCTATTTTAGCAATTATCTATTTAGCAAAACTGAGTAATATCACAGAATACACGAGGGGAAGAGTTAATATTTTGTTTTAATAAATTATTTTAACTATATAATATAACCTCAAACCATACGCGCTGGTTATAGATTTGACCGTTTTCGGCTATACTTGCCAAGTTCAGGGTAGGATCCATTTGTTTTCACAGAGATAACAAAAATTGATTGTCGTCACGTGTCTATGATGCTGGGCTCTCAATGGAAAATCGGTGCGTCACAGTGTGACGCTGGTAGTATTCGAAATAATCGTACGTGCGATCGAGGCTAAAAAAAATTCGAATGGTCTTACAACGCCCTTGACATGCACATATACCGAATCATCTTTGTACAGTCGTTGGTCATTTTCTTGTGCAATTTTCAGCTTCGTCATAGTCGATTTACCTGATTTTTTTCCTTTCAATGATTCTCACAATGATCCACATTCCCGAACGCTGTCAACACGATATCGTAGGGTGAACGCACAATAGGGAAAACCAATGCCGTCAAAGATATACACTATCGATGCACGATAACTTGAAAATATTAGCTTTTGCCATTGTCAAGAATCGATCGATATTAATGAATGTTGAACAAAAACATCTTTTGTCTCGTGTCGTGAAACGTTCAACGAATTACAGAAATCCTATCGATCACAATACTCTTTGTTACCTGAATTCGAAACAATGGCGCACATCTTTTGGGTCACACGTTGTTTAAACGAAAACATGGGAAAGATAAGCCCGCGAAATTCAAGTATGCAGAAGATATCGCGTAAAATGAAATTCATCGGACTTTCATTCTTACACTTTGCCTGGCTTCTCGAATAAAATGAAATTCTATTTCGAGATTAAATCGAGCTCGACAGTGTCAGCGACATCAGGAAGGATTTTAATTGAAATTTTGTCGAAGTCTCGAGAGCAAAAGGCGCGCGGTACGAAGAAGGTAGAAAGAAACGACTTAAAGAACACAAAAGGACCAGCGGTACGGCGCATGCGCGCGTCTTACGAGAGGCAAGATCCGAGTGTTTTAAAAACACGCAAGAGGCGACGAGTGGGATTTCAAGGTTAGGCGGAGCGAGACATCTGAGGTTAAACGGTGAGCAAACTGACTCTTCTTCCGTAGCGCGACAAGAAATTAGAGAATAACATAAACACTGTACGTGTCACGTAAAAAATCGCACGATTTCGATCCAACTGCGTTTAATGCTATTAACGGAAGAGTCCTAGTGATTATTATTGCTCTCCCTTCTGTCAAGACTACGGACCATAATCTTCCGAGATGGATCCATTCAAAAGTAAATGGCTCTTAAATATCGAACGACAAATTGGTTCTTTGCAAATTAACGCGTTGCTTTATGCTTTGAATCGGTAATGCAATCAAAATAGTGGTCGTATATTTGCCGCAGCTGTAATCGCAGCCGGTATCGCTGCTGTCGAATAAACGTAGCTTATCGAATAAACTCGATAAATCGATCCAAAAACAAACGATAAGAGAAAAAAATAGACCGACGTATTAGTTAACGAAATTGGACACCCGTTTATTCAACTTGCCGAAGATAAGCTATCGGTGTATACAAGGGACCAATAACCGTGGATATCAACATGCGTACTCACCTTTTTTATAAACCGGCAAAATTTTGGCGATTCTCGAGTCGCCCGTGTTATCCAGTTCTCGAGGTTGCGAGCGACTCCTCTTCGAACAGTGTCCTCTTGCTTCGATATTTCTTCTCGTTTGCACTTAATCGCAGTTTATCATTTACCCACTCCTATCTATCCTTTTCTCTTTAGCTTCCTTTCTCTCCAACACGATCCTAACCTCACCCTGCACCAGCACAACTACAATACACTGTAGCACGACCGACACTCCGCGAACGATTCACGACGTACGGAGAACGCCTCCGTAGGCGCACCTCTAAAGAGAGACCAGAAAATCGCCGAGACGCTTATTCCGTCGTTTTCTTTCCCCCCTTCTTTCTACTTCTTGGTTCCAACGCGCAGAGACGCGATCAAGAAACTATTTTCGAAATTCAGCCGCTTTCCAGAACTCTGATTCGCGACGAAACTTTATCTTTGGCTTTGGAATCTACGCGCCACACGCATATGTCAGTCGGGGGTAACTCGTGAAAAAGGAACTACACGCGCATGCTGCGGCTTTCTTCTTTCTTTTCCTCTCTTTCTCTTGCACTGCACTCTTCCCTTTCGTTTTCTTCCTCCGATTCTCGTGTCGCGTATTCTACCTGTCACTGACGATAGCGTCGTTGTTACGTCGCCAGCGTTGCCGAGTCAGGATGGATCTCCAATGTGTTTGAATTTTCCGCTGATTCGAGAAACGTGCCACCGCGAATAATTCTGGCAGCAAGAGAACCGGTACCGTAATAGTAGAGCCCCCCCCGATTCCTTTCTTGCTCAAATCTCATACGTGCCCCTTGCACGGTTTCTTCTGTTGTTTGCCGCTGCTATCACTGGGAAAAAAAGCAACGGAGTACCCGTGGTACACTGTTGATCACGACTCGAAGGGTACCGTCGTATCGCGAACAACCGGAGAAACTCGGAGCCAGGAGCAGCCGGTTCGTCGTACCGACATTATTTCGACATGGATCGCCGTATCGATTTACTCGTGATTTCGCGACATCGCTGCTGCCGGATCTTTCAGGTTATAACGGACAGAAGCAGGACGACTTTTTAAAAATGCCACGCACCGACCAATCACGAACACGAGGGCACGGAACGCAGACGGTACAAGAAGATAGAAGAAGAGAGAAAGAAGTGGAGCCGCTATATACACGCGCGCGCTTGTCCGCTTGCTCGTACACACTACGTACAGGTATATACACAGGCACCAAAGGGGGATCTCGCGCGCGCGCACGCACACACGGACAAGCGGCGACGCGATCTTACGGGTGTTGTGTCGTGTCGATCCTTCCCTGCTGCTTTCCAGCGATCTCACCCGCGACGATCCAAGATCGACACGATTTTACGCACGCCACTAACCCGAGGACGAACACTATTGTGCG